AGGTCAGATATTGTTCTATGTACAATCCTTGTTTTATTGATTGCATGTAATAATCTACTTTCTGAGGTTGTGGATTTGGGGTTTTCATGAGCTGCAAGCCATAATCATCACAATTATGACAAATCACGGCTTGAATTATCTTGCTTTGCATGTAATGAGTCTATCTCAACTTAAAATTTCACCTTTTAAGTTGCATTAGTGAAATAAATGAACTTTGCACGATATTCTAATTATTCGAGTTTCACCTGTACACACAGCCATAATAGGCCACTCTATTGGAGCATCCTTCATCCTAGCAACAAAGGACATTAGATGGCAGGAGCTCCCTAGCATCCATTGTTGCTAGGGTGCAGACAGCTCAAGCCACCTAGCCTCCTTTGATGCTAGGATCAGGTGACTTGAGCTGCCTGCCCTCCAAACAACCAATAGTGCACCTTTGCACTATATGTTGTATGCCGGTTAATGTTGCACAAACATTCCATGCATACAATATACACAGGATCTTGCTACCAGCTAGATCTTGCATAAAGCTGCCTTATTTTCATATGGCCGTGTGCATGAGCCCTCATAGTGTCACACCTTGTTGATTTTTTTTCTTCATATAAATAGATGAAGAATGTACCCCAGAGAGAAGCAACCAGGAAGTACAGCTCCCAGTACTGAACGCCACAGCCTCATGGTGTGGGGGAGGAAAAGATATTCCCACTGAGCTGTGGCCAGCAGTAAAAGACTAGTGAAGAATCAAAACCCTCCACAGGCTATCCAATAATAAAACAGATTGCAAGCACTTCCATGCTTTTAAAGTAAGATAATATTTTTTTACTAGATACATATTTTATATTGTTTGTATAACGCTTGAAGTCCATCAAGGAAAACTTTTCTTGTCTTACAGGATGTTTGTTTTTTGTTTTTTTCTTTTACTCGTTGGTAGCCTGTTATGTGCTGTTTATTTAAGGATCCGTGTGTATATCCTAGCCATGTTCACATGTGTACACATTATGTATATGCATAAACAGCTTCTAAACGTAACCACTGTAGTATCTGCCGCTTACTGCGGTTACAATAAAACCTGTGCTGTAACAGAAATCTAAAACATAAGCAATAGCAGGACAAGCTGACACTTTCACTGTCAGGCCACATGGTGCTCAGATGTTACATACAGAGCCTGTGATCACATTAACATGAGGAATGAATTAGTAATTGGTGGGGTAGAAGATAGCCTATCCTTAGGGGAACCATTAGAGGATATTGCCCAATAGCAAGTAGTCCTGTAAATTAAAACACATCAATCACTTCAGTTAGACAGTGGTCTGGTCTCGATATAACCCATATTCAGGAAGTTTAATTGCATTATCAGCCTTTATTTCAAAAGGAAACATTATTTACAGTCTACATGGCAGACAATTGTTCCTCTATAAACAGATACAATAAGGGCATTAGACATACAAATCATAAACTGACCCTTGCAGTTGCTGGATTGGCATTCTGCTCAAGCTCCCAAGAGACAGCCTTACCATTACCAGTCATGTGACCCAATCAATACAGCAAGATACATTACTGCTTGCATAGTCATTGATTGTATGACAAAATAAAGGGTGCAGCGTACTTATACATCAGCTGGTGATTACACAATACAGCAAACTTAATTAGAAAAACAACACTGCATGCCCTAGGTCATATACATGCATAGGAAAAACCTTAACTGACTACAGTATGCTTTAACAGTTCATTCTGTTCAGCTATAAACAGAGAAATATGAGTCATCCAATCTCTTTCAAGGACTCAATCGAATGATTGAATGCATACTATTCCCATCAGAATGTAAATGATCTGCTGTGTATCATCTACGTCATTTGCAGTGACACATTTTACAGGATGACCTAGCTGTAAGGAAAAAAAAAAAGGTTTACCGGTCCTGCAAAAGACATAATCGCTCTTTTGTGAACCAAGGTGTGATGGGTAGATAAGGGGTTAACAGTGCAGTTCTTAGGGAAGGATAAGATTCTAACATGACCCACATGTCAGGTCCTTGTGCATAGCTGTAATTATTCCTCCCACACCTTCGCAAGGCAACAAGAAGCTGCAAAACTCCTCTGCAATAAAACAACCTCCGGTAGAGCAAGCAGAAATTATTTTAAGTAACCACCGCACTGCAAGAGAGTACAGCAAATACAATGTCAAGGCTGAGCATCTTACTGAACAAATCAGTTCACCTGATTCGAAGCAGAAATGTCATGTTTCTCGGCCAACATAAGGAAGATATGCAATGGAAATGTCTTCAAGACATACACAGTATAATTACATAGTCTGTAAACAGAGATGGAATCTGGAGTGTTGTTTATATTGTGCATCCTATTGTATATTTCAAATATAAACCCGGGGTGAAAACATTAAATAACTCTGCATAATAGTTTTCCCCAACAAAAACCAGCCAGAAAATATGAACGTAATTCAGATCTGTTTTCATGTTACCTTGATCATAAAAGAATTCATTCTTTCAGATTTGTTCAGAAAGATTCATTCAAAGTACTAGAACCTACAACAACCAATCAGAAACATTCCGTATGATGTAACTTCCAGAAAAAGGTTGCTATAGGTAACATTGCTTTGTACATCAGCAGTGTTCTGTGAAGTGTAAATGACTAAAGCTAGGTATACACGGAGCAAATTTCAGCTAATTCTTGATGATTTGGACAAAACTGACAGTTGGTGGCCCTGTCTTATTTTCTTCACAGGCAAACAAAGGATCCAGGCAGAAAAATGATCAGCTCAACAGTGCCTGCATCCAATCAGATGAAGACCAGTTCAAGTATTTTTACATCTGGCAGGGCCAACTGTCAAAGTACAATATCCACAGCAGGTTAATTCCCCCAGCGAGGCTGTTTAGTGTGGATACGGGAATCTGTTAGATTTGTTTTGCTCAGCCCAAAGCTAAACGAAAACAATGCAATAGTGTATACCTAGCTTAAAGAGGAACTTCGCCTTTATCTCTGAAATTACATCAAACACACCTTTAGAAATGTTTAATAATGACAATCTATAAACACCTACTTCTAGATAAGTGCCTGCTTTGTATTCTTTGCATACTTTATTTTACTGTTCTTCCCCATTCTTCTTACAGTGGCCATTTTTACTAAGGGCAGATTGTTATAGCTACCTTTTACTTCCTAGAACTCTGGCACATGTGACCAGGACATGTGACCATGCACTTCATCTCAGAGGATGATGCCAGCAGGGTCCTTTCACAAATGTCTGTGAAATACAAAAGGCATCATGTATAGAAATGATTTGAAGGGGAAGCAAGTTGCTAGCAACAACCAATCACATCCCAGCAGTGGTTTATCTATTACAATTCAAAATATTTCAGGAAGGATATGATGGGGACATTTGGCAACTAAAAAAGTTTTCTTTTCAGACTCGTGTTACAAGATCTTAAGGCAATATAGATTTAGTTATGATGTAAATATACTTCTTAATCATCTTAATTGAGAGTGGCACCGTTATAGATACTGGAATTGTTTAATACATTTTAATTATGCACATTGGACTAATGGGAGTGACAAATAAACCATGCTAACCACATTTCCCAACTAGGTGTATGCACTATCAAATATCACCATGTGTATCATCTATCAAATTAGTTATTTAGTCTTCTGATTTATCAAGGATATAGAAGCACTATGTTGGGCACCAGAGATGTAGAAGCACCAATGTAATATGAGGGTCATCTACAGAAGAAGTATTATAGTCTCCTGAGCTAAACATATTAGGACGAAAGATACCTCAAGAATGTACAAGCACTATGTTGGGCACCAGGAATGTGGAAGCACCAATGTAATATAAGGGTCATCTATTAAGGGTCATCTATTAAATGAGTTATTTAGTCTCCTGATGCATCAAGGATGTAGATGCATTATGCTGGGCACCAGGGATGTAGAAGCACCAAAGTAAAATAAGGGTAGCTATTTAGACTTCTGATGCACCAAGGATGAAGAAGCACTACGTTGGGCACCAGGGATGTAGAAGCAGCAATGTAAAATACAGGTGATATATAGAAGAAGTAATATAGTCTCCTGAGCTAAACATTTTAGGATGAAAGGTACATCAAGGATGTAGAAACACTACGTTGGGCACCAGGGATGTAAAAGTGTCAATGTAATACAAGGGTCATCTATCAAGAGTTATTTAGTCTCCTGATGCATCGAGGGTATAGAAGCACTACGCTGGGCACCAGGGATGCAGAAGCACCAAGGTAATATAAAGGTCATCTATAGAAGAAATATTTAAGTCTCCTGGACTAAACATATTAGGATGAAATATACATCAAGGATATAGAAGCACTACGCTGGGCACCAGGGATGCAGAGGCACCAAATGTAATATAAGGGTCATCCATAGAAGAAGTATTTAAGTCACCTGGACTAAACATATTAGGATGAAAGAGAAGCACTATGTTGGGCACCAGCGATGTAGACGCACCAATGTAATATGAGGGTCATCTATAGAAGGAGTATTTTAGTCTCCTGAGCTAAACATATTAGAATGAAAGATGTCCCTGCAGGTCACTAGGAACTGATTGGAAAGCTTCCTGTGCACACAAACACACTGGCCATGGAGAAGAATAGGACTGAAAAAGCTTAGTCACCACAATACATCTCAGTCTGCCCTGCTGCTCAACCACCCAGCTGCCAGGCCCCTAATGACAATGCCTTTTTTTTAAATTGCAAAAACACCCTCCTATACAATGACATCCTAAACATGTATGTTATTCCACACTACACATATTATTAACCCATCAGCTACCAACAGCAACATGCTACCAAGCATCCTATGATCCCCCAAGCAGGGATGCAGCAAGAAATAGGTGAAGTGCAAATAAACGATTATTATTTGAAGCAGATTTGCTATTTAAATGAGTGTTTGCTTTGTAGATCTGCAAAGTTGTGATTTGGATGTGAGCTGTCCCTAGTCCCAGCCTGTCAGGGTGAGAGTTCCTCTTACCAGCTATCCTGAGCACAGCCCTCTCTGCTGGGTCCAGCACTGCAGCCCCCGAGCTCTTCCTCTTACACCTCTCATGTCTCGGTAGGTTCCATGGCAGAGTGTCACCCGGGGCTGGAGAAGCAGATCCTGACTTCTGGCTGAAGTCTTCATCATCAGAAAAGTCAGCCGAGGAAGACATGGAGCAGCGATAAGACCCGGTGCCCGAGCTCTGGGGGGAGAAGAACATACACACAGATCTATACGATGATCGAGCAATTCACAATGATCATACGATGATCGAGCAATTCACAATGTACAGAGCATCAGAAAGTGACATTCATTCGAGCAGCTTGGGGTGTGCCAGCCACAAATACTGATCATAGACATTGCATAGATCAATCATAGGCATCGCATAGTAACAGAAGCGCTTACCATTGTGTGACATTCAGGAGATCGCTGACGGATGAGAAATCATTTGCTTTTTGGTGAGGATGGGCAACAGGAAATGATCCCAACAATCAAACGATCGCAGCTAGCAACTGCAACCAAGCCTACCGCTGCAACAGCGCAGTGTCTGGCGCCCTCTAGTGGCCGGCTTTACAATTGCAGGGTCCTGCCACAGCTAATCCATCCTGAGTGCAGAAACAGAAGGAGGGTGGCTTCCTTTGTAGTGATTACTCAAGGCTTTCTACCTCCCCTAACATCCCACTTAGAGAGCCCCTGATGTCCGGCCTGTGTGCACTAGACAAAGGAACAGTTCGATGACTGAGAGAGCAGGAACTGGCAGTGCAGCTCCCAGAAGCTTTATATACACTGAGCCTTGTTCAGTAGCTCCCTGTCAAAACACTTCCAGCAAACAAATGTTTCATCTCAGTTTATAGCCTCTGTCCTGGCATTGCTCCTCATTACACAAGCACATCTGCCTTCGGTCAAGACTATTGCCAGTGCTGGAGGACAGAACTGCTGCCATTTCTGGGCAGCCTGTCATGGGGTACAGAGGGATGTGATCTTGTCCAGGAGCTGTCACTATTTTATCTGATTATACTGACACCTTTTCATTAGAATAATGATGGCCTGACATAAAAGGAGTTGGGAATGAGGGATCCAGTTTATTAATGTAACAACCATCAGTACACAGAAATGATGGCATCTTGTTATGGTGATATGAGTCGTGTGCAAGCTAAGAAGAAAATAAATATTTCAAATCTATAAGTGATATTAAACTTAAGAGTTAAATCTTAAAAATGCAGTCAAGTACCTTAACTATTCACAATACTGCACCTTATTTGTGTATCACTCCGCTGTACATCCTCAAATCATCTCTGAATTCAGCCGACAGCGTCCTTCCTTCTGGACGGTGTGTGTGTTGTAAAGTAGTCACTGCTCCAAGCTGGCTCCTGTGATGGACTATAATCTCACATTTGGTTCACTGATTTGTATTGTGATTGTAGTCCATCATGGGAGCGAGCTTGGAGCGGTGGCTACTTTACAACATAAGCCCTTAAACTAAGTTTAGTGTCACTTAAGGGCTTGTCCACACCATCTAGTACGTTCAGGGCGCGGTTCCGTGCCATAAACTTACTAGATCGCATAAATAAAGGCACCCGCATTCTGTGGCGGGAGGGGTGTGGCTGTGCCATTCATGTCAATGTCACCTCATACACACCTCCCACCAGTGTTATCACCCGCCCCGGAACACCTGGTACTACAATGCCCTGCGTTCCAGTGTGCTGCGCACGGAACCATGCCCTGAACACACCGGATGGTATGAACAAGCCCTTAGATCTACCAAACTGTGGGAGAGATTAGAATATGCGTTTTCAACACTTTTCTGGTGGTATGGTCCCTTTAAAAAGTCCTGCACCTAATTCCTAAAAGCCCTGAGACAGTTTTGTTAAGCGTTCTGAAACGCGTAACAGATTCCATTAGTTCATATTAGTGCTACTTTCACAATGTTTTTGGTACTGATGCAATCAATTCTAAAAGAATTACAATTAGTTCATAAATAATCAAGGTCAATTATGGAAAAATTAAGGTAATTATGGCCCCTTTCATACGGGCATTCCAATCAGGTTCCCCTGTCAGTTTTTCGTGCGGATCCAATCAGAAGCCTTATGTTAGTCTATGGGAGCCAGAACACTGTTCAACACAGAGTGATGTCACCCAACATGCCCCTGCGCTGTGCTACAATCAACATTGCTTGTGCTAATTAAGCAACACTGTGGATTGGAACACTGTGCTGGGGACATGATTGACAGCTGAAGAACTAAACCACTGCACTCTGTGTTGAGCATTGCTCCAGATCTCTAGCGTTCTGTCTGCACACAGCATTTTAAACTTAAAGTAGAACTCCCCAGCTTTAATATATATTATTCATATATTTAATTTCCCAATTAGAAAAATACTAGTAGGCACACTCTGAATGGCTGCTGTACTCAGAGAGCGACTCTCTGTGTTTCAATAGCATATAGAAGTTGTTCAGCATAGCAGCTGTATCAGGATCCGGAAGACGCTGTAATACACTGTAGTAGCTGCAGGTGCTACAATGTATTTC